TGTCCCTCGTCTATTTGCACTCTGTCTCACTCTCTCTAAAAATAAATAAATATTTAAAAAATTAAATTCCCTGTATCATAATTCTGACATCTGTGTCATATCTGAATCTGGTCTGATGCTTGCTTTGTCTTCTGATTGTGATTTTCCTTTGTCTTTCAGCATACTTTATAATTTTTTGTTGAAAGCCAAACATGACGTAACAGGTAATAGAAACTGAGGGAAATAGGTGTTTAATGTAAGGTCTTATGTTAATATGGCTAGGAGCAGAGCTGTGTTTAATGTTTGCTATAGCTGGACCAGAGGATTCAAATTCCTTTAATGTCTTTGCTTTTGTCTTGTTTGTCTTTGGCTTCCTTAAGAACTCTTCCTTAGGTAAAGTCTGTCTTTCAGTTCCTTGAGCTATAATATTGTTAAGATACTAGATACCTTTTGATGAGTTAGAAGGGAATGGGGAAGAAGAAGAATTGTACACTATTACGATTGAATCTCTTTCAGTGGGCCTGTGCATCTGGGATGTAACCTTCACAAGTTATAGTTCTTAGATTTTTTTCCCCCTTACGTGTTATTGGAAAACTACAGGAGGCTGGAGCAGAGAAAATGCCCTTCCCTTAGGTAGCTAAGACTCTGGTGAAGTCTTTCCTCTGAAGAGTAGCCATTTGATATGAGAACACTCTTACAGTATTTCACAATGGCTACTCTTCCCCTCCCTTGTGAGAGCCAGGAGGGTATCTTTCTTGGCTCTTCAAGGTGAGAACCTGGTATAATTCCTCTAGATAAAACCCAAGAAATTGTCAGGGACCCCTTAAGACTAAAGCTCTCGGAAGCCTCTCACTTTCAAGCTAGTCTACACTCAGCCTCTAACAACTCATCAAAATGCTCATTTAAGTGTTTTCAACAATGTATGACTCCAGGACCTTCTTCGTATGGAATGGAGATGGAGACTGATTTCTCATTTGCCTGTCCTTCTGGATTTCAGGGTGCCAGTTTGTTCTGCAACCATCATCCTCTGATAACTCCAAGAAAAGCCATTGATTTTGTTTGCTCAACATTTGTTTTTTTGGTTGCAAAAATGGGAGTGACAACTTCCCAGCTTTTACATGTCAGAACTGAAATCAGAAGTTTGACTTCTTTTTATTTTTAAATCACTACTGCTAGACTATTTTGCCTGCACAAAGTCTCAATACCTCTGAAATTAACTAACCAAGTCTGTTGGTCTCATAAACACAGACATCCATGGATGGGCTTGCCTCTCCCAAGGCAACAGAAGAAATCCATGTGCCAGAGGAAATTTTAGCCCTGGAGTCATTCTCAAGGCTCTGGAAACCCCCACACTTGAAAATATAAAATTGATATCATCATCATCCAAGTTTTTATTTCACTGCTTTTAAAAGTAGTGAAATATATGCCACAATATGTCTCATTCTAAAGGTTGAAAATTTTATGCTATGACTATAATGACATCATCCTGCCTCCCACAGAAGGCTTTTGCTTGGAGAGTTCAGCAAAAGAACAAAATTAACAGGAAACGTCACTTTCACACACAGATGGAAAAAATGTTAACATCTTCTGAATTCTATGACAGTCTCCTTGATGGGAACATACATGTCACCAAAACGTACCAACAATGTGCAAACACATCTTATGAACAGGTGCTAAACTGAGGTCACTGCTGGAAGATGGGAGCTTTGGCAGTACTGAGAACAAAAGATTCCTCCTAGGTGTAGTTTGAAGCTAAGAAATAAGAATCACGTGTAAGGAATGTTCCAGGCAGGATAAAACTTGTGAATGCTTGAGTGACAATGTACCGAGGAGGCTTCCTATTACTTCTATTCTACCTTTATTTCATAGATCGTGAACCAATCCTACTCCTTTCTTAAAGATTTTGTGGAATAAATTAAAAATTCTCTTCTGGTTAAATAATGTTGTGATCATTCCAAAAAGAAAAAGAAATATGTGATTCTTCTCTCTCCTTGAGGACTGACTTCAGTAACATTAAATTATGAAAACAGTACAGAAATATCTAGCAGATTTATTTTGCTCAAAGTTTCCCTATGTATTCCCTAAGTGGTCTAACCTCTAAAATGTATTCCATGTTGCCAGTATACTGAGAACAAAAAAGAACAACCAAAAGCATATATGGCTAGTTCTATGTCTAGGGAGAATATTAATGTGAGTTTTCTATACATAAGATAAAAAAAGCCACATTTATTTTCCTTCCCTATTTAATCCTAAAATCGCTTTCTCTTGAAATGTTCACGGAGCTATAACATGAGATTTTTAAAATAATATTTGTGGTAATACATGTAAAATGAGACCTGCATAATGTTATAGTGAGAAGGTAACATTCTTGATCAGTGCATGGGAGAGGTGTATAGGGATATCAAACATTAAGGGTTTATAAGGCTGGGTTATTGCTCAAAGAACTGAATGTGAAATAAAAATGTTACCATACTACCATTATCTAATCCCTTCCTCATCCACATCACATCACACACATACCCGCACACACCACATATGCACATACCTCATACGTACAAATATACAGATACCTTCTTCTAGAACTCTGCTCCATTAATTCTTTCCTTTCTATGGCCTGTGTAGCATGTTACTTTCTCCTGTCTCCCTCCTTCAGGCTAGCAAAATCTTTCCTCAATTCTACTTTCTTTCCAAGCTATAGCACTATCTTCTTCCTTTTATAACTCTTTTGTTATCCCTCTCACATTTGAAATTGTGGAAAATTTGTCCCTATTAGACAATCAAGTACACATCAAATACAGAGAATGGTGAACAAAAGTTCTTTACTTTCCCCTTTAGCAGGATCTCCCGTCTCTTCCAAGGAGAAACATGAGGAAGTCTCTTTCCTAACAGCTTCCTTCTCATTTGCCATGCTTCCTCAATGCCCTCTACCCCAGGATCCTTTATCTTCTTTTCTTTAACTTCATCCCAAGCTGTCAATCTATTCCAACTGGTTTTCCCAATATGAAAGCATGTGTGTGTGTGTGTGTGTGTGTGTGTGTGTGTGTGTGTGTGTGTGTATTTTGTGCTGGTGAATGGAGTTTCAAGTCCTCTGAGTATTTCTGGAGTATGAGCATAGGGGGTAAAGGACCGTGGTTATCTAGCAATATTCAATAACCCTCCTCAAACTATTTCATTAAAATTATCAATAAGACTCTGTATCTTCTTAGTTTTCTCCTTTCTCCTATTTATAACTCTGTAGTATTTGAGCCTTCCTATTAATAATTTTTCACTTTAACTGGCCAGTGGAACAAAATTCCCAGTGCTTTTCATTCTGTAACTCTAAAAATTCCTTCTCTATCTCCTTCATGGGTGTCTTCCTAAAGAAGATGGACATGTTACTAAATAGAGACATTGCTGAAGGTATGTTTTTGGCTTTTGTCTCACTTTGTATTTATTCTTTGAGTCATCATACCTCTTCTGCTTTTTCTCTGTGTAGATGATGTTCACACTAGCACTGAGGAGGTGACATCTAAACTGGCTTTTGAAGGATGAGTGGGAATTATTAAGATGATGATGGGATCAAAATGAATGTGGAAAATGGTGCTGCATACACAAAAATACAGACAGATCAATTAGGATGGCAAATTTAGGAGAACTGCCAACATTGCACATGAGTGAGTATAAACTGTGCACTGGTGTTGTGCAATGCTATATCCTTGATGGAATATTAGGAATAAGAAGGAGCTATGGAAGCTGAAGCCACAGCAATACTAAAGTCATTCATGATAATGAAATTTGAACTTTATTCTTTACATTAGTATATCCTAAAGCAGGTTTTCAGAACAACTGATTGATAAAAAATTGATGTGTATTTAAAATAATCCATAATCATATGAATTCAGGCCACAAAATCAATCACATTTGAACAGGTTTCTTCGCTAGAAGGGGCAATTTTTAAAGTATTTATTTATTTTTCAGGGAGAGAGAGAGAGAGAGAGAGAGAGACAGACAGACAGATAGACCATGAGTAAGGGAGGGGCAGAGAGAAAAAACACAGAATCTGAAGCAGGATCAAGGCTCTGTCAGAGGCTGATCTGGGGCTCAAACCCAGGAACTGCAAAATCATGACCTGAGCCGAAGTCAGACACTTAACCAACTGAGCCACCCAGGTGCCTAGAAGGGGTTCTTTATAGTCAACTTACCCCCTAATTCTCTTAAGAATATAATATGTGGTATTTGCTATGAGACCCTTTGACATTTTCTAGAATATACATTGGGAATTTGCTTGAACAATGGGGGTCATAGAAGTAATTAACTTCTAGTTTTAAAGATGACTCAGATAACAGTACAAAAAATGGCTTAAAGATATAAATTGGATAAATATTGCCACAGGCAGTCACATAAGAGAGGAAATGAGGATAAATGAAGCAAAATGAGTAATGAGTAGTTGATCTCACAATAATTGGTAAGAAAATGATGTTCTGGGTAAGGCAATGACACAGATAATGATAATGGAGAGGAGTAAGACATTTTTCAAGAGCTTTTAAGGAGGTAGACTCAGTCTCCTTGTTTGGCTTTTTTTTTTTTTTTTTTGTAGGTATACTCAATAGGATTTGGTAGGCAGTAGATATGGGGGATGACAGAGGTAGGGAAGAGTCCAGTATAGGACCCTGATTTCTGACAGAGTAGGTGTTTGAAGGACTACAGTATGATATAGACATTCAAATCCAGGATGGGGTGGTGGCTGTAGGGGTAAGGAAGTTGCAAAGAGGGTGGATGCTACAGTGTAAGAAACATGTGAAAAGACAGTAGAGGAAAATCTTCTCTACAATTTTGCATGGAACTACACAGCTCTAAGAGGAACATTTTTTTCATGTCACGTGACTTAGTAGGTTGAATAACTAGCTCATGTGATATACTCTCTCAAAGATCCATTTTAATTTATTTTAATAATATTTATTCCTATATAAATTTGATTGATATATTTGGTTGCCACTAAAGCTTAGACAGAACTCAGATCTGGTACTACAATGAAAACTCACCATTATTCCTTGTGCTGATCTCTTCAAATAATCCCATTTCTGTCAAACAAACCAACAAATGAATTATTCTCCAATAAAAGAGTCTGGAAACCATGGTTGTCTCTATTTCTTCCTTGATATTCCAGTCCTAAGATTTCACCATTTTATTATCTCTCATTCAGAAGACTCAAAAACAATCCTGAAAGACACAAAAGTAGAAGAAAATGAATGAAAAGACATACTATGTTCTTTGGAGGAAAGACTTAACATAAATATGTCAACACAATAAAACATCATTAGGGTTTTATTTTCCTTAAAGCTAAAGAGAACTTAGTTGAAAAACATAACAAAACAAGAAAGGTAGCAATAAGTCTGAAACAAAAGATAACTCTAAAAAAGAGAAGAATGAGAATAACCTTTCCCTAGAAGGAATTGGCACACATTATAAAGCTTCTGTAGTTAAAACAGTATGGAATCCATGCATGGAGAAACAAAGTGACATAACATAAAAAAAAAAAGAAAAAGAAAATATTTACAGTGACTTTAAAACACAAGTAGACTGTATATCCTTAGTTAAATACATTCTGAGGTACAAAACAATAAAGCCTGAAAAAATAACAAATCCTACATTTTGAGGATATATATTGTGACTGTATATCCTTAGTTTAATATATTCTGAGGTCAAAAAAACAAAGTTTGAAATAATAACTATACATTTTGAGGACTTACATTTGAAGATATATATTAAGTAGTGCAACTATAAGACTGTTACCTTTGCAGTGAGGGAAAAAGCAAATGAGGTTTTTGTTTTTGTTTTTGTTTTTAATTTTTAATGTTGATGTATTTTTGAGAGAGAGAGAAAGAGAGAGGGAGAAAAAAAAATCAGTGGGGTAGGGGCAGAGAGAGAGTGAGACATAGAATCTAAAGCAGGCTCTGGGCTTCGAGCTGTCAGCACAGAGCCCGACGCAAGGCTCTAGCCCATGAACCACGAGATCACAATCTGAGCTGAAGTTGTACGCTTAACCAACTGAGCCATCCAGATGCCCTGCAAATGACATTTTATATATGATTACCATGGAAAACCAGAAGTGTTGGCATGAGAGAAATAGGAACCAAATGTAAAATCAATAAGGTTAGGTAATAATCACATACACCTGAATTTGAATTAGAACTCACAATAAATATCAATTATACAAACTCACAAACTTTATCTTTAAAAAATACATGCTTCTTAGACTTGTGCTCTGAAATATGAAAAAACAATGACTGACTGTAAAACATTGAGCACTCTTAGCACCGATTTGTGGTCTTTACCATTTCACAACACACGCAATAAAGTCTTCTAGGAGAATGGGTGATTCTGAGTGTTGGATAGAAAATTTAAAAGATGATCTTGAGACGTCTTGCCATATAAAGGAGTTAGAAAGCTCTTAAAGCCTACCAGGATTGTATCAAAAAGATACAGAAGTCAACCTAAGGAGGTTCCCAATTCAGCAAAGATAGGACAAATTTGAACATTAATAAAGATAATTGCAATAGATTGAAATTCATCAAATATATTTTAACATGAGTTTATTTTATTTCTTTTGAAATAAAGAAAGAAACCCACTGGAAACAGTTCCTATAGCACACACAAACAAAAAGCAAGCAAGCAAATATTATATGCCCGCTGATAGTACATAGCACAACCTATAAGCGATTCTTGCCAAAAAAAAAAAAAAAAGTCTAAATCTGATCAAGTTTTTTAATTTAATCACCATTTTGTGGGGAATACAGGAGACAGAAGAACATTATAAATATTACCATGAATATGAAATTAGCAAATATTGTCTCTGTCATTTTAATGCGTTTCAAGATCAAAAAAGAGATACAAGGTGAAATTAAAGATTAAAAATATTTAAGAAACTTCATTAACCAATTACATACAATGAATGGACTTTATTTGGATATTATTCAAAGAAAGGACTTATAAAAAATTTCATACAAAAATTATAGAAACTTAACTACTGACTACATACTTGGGATTGTTAAAATTGTTAATATATTAGATATGGTAATAGTATATGCCTATATTCACTAATGAGTCTTTATCTTTTAGAAATTCAAACTCAAATATATATAAATTACAGGTATTGATGATTGACTTCAAAAAACTTAGAGTTAAAGATGTAGGTTGAAGAGAGATAAAAAAGAGTGGTCATGAAATGATTACTTTTGAAGTTGGTTGGTGAATATATGGGGGCTTGTTACATTATTCCATATACTTTTTTATTTTCTAATATTTCATAATGAAATGAAAGAAAAAAATCTCATATATTTTCTCCTTCTCCAGTCTCACATCAGCTGCTCATTTTCTTTTCCTAAAATATTGCTATAGTAACTAATGTTATCAACGTGAATTTTCACCTCTAAGATTTACTCAGAACACGCTCATTAGATTCGTCCTCTAAAAACCCTAAAAAACAACTTTTTTCACAAGTAGCTACTTTGCTCAAAACTTGTAAGTGATTCTCCACTTTCCTCGAAATAAGTGATCATAAGTCTGTTCAAAATAAACCATCATTAGTTTGACATCAAAGACACCTTACAATCTGTTTCCATCCAATTCTCTGAACACTTCCCTCACTTCTTTTTATGAGCTTGATGCTTTAGTCAAAGCATTTGTCCACTTGTCTGCTTGTCCTGGAAACAGATGTGGGAACTCCACCTCCACTCTTGCTCTTACAAGGCTGTCTGAGTAGTTGCCCTTCCTCTATATTTATCTTAATTTGTTCCTTTCTTGAAGGTCTATTCAAGTCTCACCTCCTCCATGTAGCTTTTCCTAAAGACTTTTCAACTACGGTCAACTGTCTCTTATTTGAACTCCAGCAGCAATTACTTTCCTATAACTCATTTTATCACATGCTACTCTACATGCCTAGGGTATTTTAATGCCCAGACTCCACCCTCTTTGATGTCAGGGAGTGTGTCAGATTTCAATGTACTCAAGCACAAACTGTAGAGCCTTATACAGAATAATTGCTCAATAAATGTTTGCTGATGTTGCTGCTGGCCTTGCTGCCATTATTAATGATTGTGGTGGTGGTGATGATAATGACGGTGGTGGTGATAATGATAAAGGAAGTTCATTTGACAATAATTGCCAGGATCCCAAAATTTCTTCATTGAGATGACCTTGAATCTAAAGATTTACGACTGAGTTAGAGTATTGATTCATAAAACTAAATATTCAACTTGCGTTTGGTCCTAGAAGTCATTCCATATGTCCCAATAACCTAGTACTGCCAATTAAGATGGATTAAACATACACACAAACAAAAAGAAAAACAAGAACAAAAACAATACCCCTATTTTCAAATTCTTCATTGACTTTTTACTCCTTAAAGAATTACAAATGTCTTGATAGAGGATTAGAGGTTTACAGTCTAGCCTAAAATCCAAAATCAAATTTCATTCTCATTATTTCCCTATATGTACTCTGCTTCAGTTAAAATAGTCTAATTTTAAATATATTTGGAACCATTTCTCTTCTTTCTATTTCCATTAAACTTCCTTAGTTTAGATCTTCATAATTTCTTGGATTGTTTCAATTCCTTTTCAAATCCACCACCTGGCTTCCAGTCATGTTCCCTTCCAGTTCATTCCCCACCCACCCTTCACTAAAGCCCAAGAAGGATTTATCCTGCTTAAAATTCTTGTATGACTTTCTTAGCTATAAAGGCTAAATGCCTTAACGTGGTGTACAAGACCTTTTATGATATTCACTTTCATTACTTCAAATGTCTGCTATATGCTATGGGCTTCCCATAGAGTGGCCAATACTCTATGGTCTATCCCTCTATTGTCTAGTGAGAGAAAAGGAGAAGAAACCCACACACATAAACATATGATAAAGACCAACAGGAACCAGGATAAAAGGGGGGGAATACCATGAGAAAGAAATATAGGGAGATCTAATTTATTTTTTTTTAATTTTTTTCAACGTTTTTTATTTATTTTTGGGACAGAGAGAGACAGAGCATGAACGGGGGAGGGGCAGAGAGAGAGGGAGACACAGAATCGGAAACAGGCTCCAGGCTCCGAGCCATCAGCCCAGAGCCTGACGCGGGGCTCGAACTCACGGACCGCGAGATCGTGACCTGGCTGAAGTCGGACGCTTAACCGACTGTGCCACCCAGGCTCCCCGGGAAATCTAATTTAGATTGAACAGAAAAGATCTTCCTGCTGATGTAACATTTAAGTTGTTTCCTTCATGTGGAGAAAAAGTTACTAAGAGTTTGATAAATCTCAGAGGTTAGAAAGAGAAGTGAAGTTACAATATATACCATCTGTTTATGTTTATTACCTACTTGATAAATTATAAAAAAATTGATAGCAAGTTAGCTCTCTATATAAATTATGATAACGCTTTGTATTATGTTTTGCATTTTGTCATGTGTCTTTTATTTTTATAAATATTTTTCCCATTAGAAGTTTAAAAGTTAAGCAGCATTCTATAGACCTAAAGCTTTGTGTTTCCTGCTTTCCCTTAATACTAGATTATCAGTATTTCAGATATACAGATATACAGTCTTTTCTAGTTTTAAAATTTAACACTTTAATCCACCCGATTTTATTTTTGATAGTCATGAGAGGGGAGCTATCTGGTGTTTTCTAAATGGTTAGCCATTTATTGAATAATAATAATAAGGACTAGCATTCATGGGGGTTTACTATGAGCCAGACACTCTGCCAAACGCTTTGTATTTATTATCTGTTAATTCTTACAACCCAACAGGGTAGGTAGTGTTATGCTCCTCAACTTTCAGACAAAGAAGGTGAAGAGCAGTTAAGTGATTTGCTCAAGGTAATACAGCTATTAAACAGAGGAGCTAAAATTAGAACTAAGAGGTATGACCCAAGAATCTATTCTCTTCACAATTAATTTTTAATTTACAGTGACTTCCAGAATCCTTGTCTTGTTCATAGATTTGAAAGGTCTCCTATGCCATATAATAAATTTCTGTTTTATATATTTAAATACGCTTCTCCTTGGGCCATTTCTAGGCTTCACATATATACATATGTATTGACATGTATATGCTTTTACATTGGTAGTTTTAAGCTGAATAAAAGATTAGTTATTACTTCCTTTTGCTCCATGTTTCTACGCTTCTATCAATTGATGCATTTAACCAAATTATTTTTGCATGTCAAAATGTGTTCACTACCTGTAAGCTAAAAATTACCTTTCTTGAGCTTATCGGCTGTTTCTCTCTCGCATTTTCTCACCTTATTTATATGCCCAACTTGATTGTAGAATTTGCTCTAACAATGTTAAACCTCATATAAAATGGTTACATTTTTTATAACTTTGTAGTAAGAACATTCTTGTTATATAAGAATAGATTAGTTTCTAATTGCTATCTGCTGTTCTGATGTATTATAGTTCTACGACATTGAAGACACTGAAAAATTAGAAAGACATTCTCCTAGGCTCACACTCTCTGCTATTAAAGTACAAATATTATTTGCTCTCACAGTGTGCTACACAGAAAGCTCAGCTGTAATTTCGAAGAACATAATATATGTTGATGCATCATGATCTCTTGAGATACTCTTTAAGAGGAACATCTCCTCAATGTTTCTCCATAGGGTTATTGAATTTCCATAGGGTCCATCTTTCCTTCCTTAGCAGAGCTGTTGTATTAATCAAAATTACCACCTGCTCTATTATAGAATCCTTCAAATGACTTCTCTCAACTTAATATACTTATATTAGATGAAGCTATCAGTGAGTTATTGGGACACATTCCCTGCTCTGTTCATTGCAAACTAGCTCTGAGTTGGCCACTTAAGGAAACTGCATTAACTCTTTCAGACCACCAGGGTGCCATTTAGGGCCCTCATGTAACATTTTCCTTAAACTAGGTCATCATGATGTCATTTAATCATTTTAGAGCACTGAAATAGATATTTATGAGATGGCCTCTCAGAGTCTGAAAGAATTAGTGTAGTTCTCCATAGCCTATGACCCACTCTGAAGTCAAATGACATGAACTTCTGTTAGTATGTCAGTCATTTCCGAGTCCTGGCTACAGTTCTCAGGGAGAATCTGAAACATTTAACAATGAGAAGGGAATCAGTTAAAAATCTGCAATCCAGTTCACTCAAAATTATTCACTGAAAAGTTATTCTTGTTCTCTCTTCATTCCATTCCTGTTTCCAATGCATAACCATGGCTTGGTCCAGGGCCTATTAGCTGGCTGTCTATTCTTACCAGATGACACTTACCTAAGAGAAATTGTCACAAATTGTAGAATCACAGAGCTGGAAGTTACTTATAGGAACTATCTGGTAAAAAAATGGAGTTATCTAGGTAGAATGTTCAGTAAACCATCTTAGATTAACAAGAAATTATCCTCCACATTTTCTTTCACTAATAAGATACTATTTTATATTGAGATAAAATACTTTCTTGTATCTTACTGAACATGTTAGGATTTAGAGAAAACATCACCTAGTTGTTCTCTGTAGAAATTTCTCTACTGAGTAAAAATCTTTTGACCTAATCTTATGAGATCTGTGAAATTGTCAGAATATAATATTTTTATAGCCCTTAGCACAACCTACAGGAGATGTGTGGGAAACTGTTTATATTGTCACTTTTTGTGACACCTTAATGAGGTGAATGTTCTAGAAATTGGGAAAAAAATACATGAAAGAAAATGTTCCGCTGCGTTAGAATAAAATTAGCCTTTAAAAAAAGTCTCCAAATTTCCATTTCCATATCTATTACCTGCCTATTTTTAACTGATTCAAATTCCCAGATATGCATGTATTTATCGATTCTCTGCAGAACTTTTATATAATGCAAGGAATGAGATTATACCTTGTGATGTCATGTTGCTGTATTTAACAGATACCTCAAATTGTAGTCATTCTCACATCTCTGTTCAGAATTTCCATGAATCCAAAGCAAGTTAATGGAACTGAAAGAAAAACAATATTTTAGATAAGGGAAGGCAAGGTTTTCCAATTTTTATGGGGAAGGAAAAATTCAGGTTTAATTTGATTTAGGTTCATAATTTCCCATATTAGACTTCTATATATAAAAACAGTACTTACTGTTACATTCCCCATCTTCATCTGCAAGTAGGAGAGTGTCCTTTAGGCTTAAAGCTTCATTCAAAATGCCATGCTAACTATAAAAACGGGTTTGTTTGCACTTATATACTTAGCTCCTTATTCAGGCCATTGTGTGTTTTACACATCGCATAACCGTGATCTATATTCTGAGTGCTCGAGGCAGTCTTATGTGGGTTTGTCTCTGAGCCAGATTTATCTTCGTATTTCCCATTATAGCCTGAAAGAACCGTATTAAGGAAGCCTTTCTTTTCAGTTCCCACTTGTGATTGCTAACATATCAAATTTATTCCTTCGTAATCCAGATCATTTTCCAGCAGCTTTGAGGCCTGCATGTAGTAGTTTGTTAGAGAGCTCATAGTAACCCTACCCTGACAGACCAAAAAGCCCTTCGACTGTCACTTTATGTCATTAACAATTTTCTAAAGCCATTACAGATGGGATGGACTGATTAGAACTGAGGAGGGAGGATCTTTTTCCCAGCCAGAAATATCCCTTGAGACTTTCACGTCGTGTGAAGTTTCTAGTGATTAATGGGAGAAAAAGAAGGCCGCCTGTCCCACAGTTGCCACAGACTTTATTTGGGCAAGAGCTTATTTATATTTGGTGGGCTCTCGGATAGCTAAACATTAACTGGCTAACTTAAAATACGGATCGAGCAGTAGATTACAAAGGATATAATACATGTTAGTTTTAGGTCCTGAGGTTGGATTTTCTCTCGTGGAGTATAGCGAGTATAATTTAATGTAAGCGTTGCTGCAAGATGAAAGTGTTTATCTTCTCCTGGCCTTTTCCCTCTTCTTCTGCTGTTTTATTTCTGTAAATGAAAGCTACAGCTGGAATATTGTTTTACTGCAAATCTCACACCAGCACTGTCAGTTGTGATGTGACACCAGAGATTCTTATCTGTAGGTTGGGTTGGAATTATTAAACATTCTCACATTGTGCAAAGTGTTGGGGATGAACAGCAGTGCAGTGAGGTGCATCCAACACTTCTGTCTTCCCCACCTGATCCTTGAAATATGACTCCTTTAAAGGGCTAATGTTCACTTTCCATAGCTTTATATAGAGAAGTGACAGTACTCAAGAAGTAACATGAACTGAAAATTATAGCAACTTCCCATCCCTCTGTCTTAATGCATGCTTTCAAAAGCAATCTTAATGGTAGACCTCATTTGAAAAGAAAACATTTGGCCACTTGTGATTAAGAACAATGAGATTTTTATGAAGAAAAATTGCTTGTAGCCCAAATATTGGAAAATATTTACATTTACTTTTTCACTTCTTTTTTCAAATAACCTTTCCTATGACTATGATACTAAAGCAAAACATTTTATCAAATTAAAGTGAGAACTGAGCCTCATGCTTTTCTTTCACAGAGATTATTATTAAAACTGTGAAAACACATGTGCTCCCACATTATTGCAGGTACACACCATAATTATAGATTATTTGCCATCTTGCTAATGCTTAACAAGATGTGGAATTTTCATCTTCAAAGTAGTCCATAAATGTTAATCACTGTGACACTTCTGGAAGACTGGGAAGAAATAGTACCTACAATGCAAAGATAAGGAGATAGAAGAAGCAAGATTAAGTGATTTGTCCAGGAGCACTTATTTTGCTTCGAAGCTCAAGGGTTCCAGCTATGAGAGAACATTAATCCATTTCTCAGAGTCTTGACTTCAAATACACATTAAGGCTCCTGGGTCACTCAGATGCTTGCTTCAAAGTTACACTTATTCTGTTGAGAGATAGCTTCAAAAGTTGTATAGGACCAATCAGAGCTGTGGGATAATATTTAGGCTACACATATCTTCCCAGAAAGCACAAAATACGGTTTCTGTGTACTTTGATTGAAATAGAGAAATATAGCTGAAGTGCTATATTAAAATAGCACTATAGGACGTTACAGGTCGCAGAAAACAACTGGATTCATTTAGTTACAAGTAATCAAATGGTTCCAGATAATATACAGGATGTCCAGTTACACCTGGCTATCAGATAAACGGTGAACACATTTTTAGAATGAGTTTATCCCACATATTACATTATCATTATTTATGTGTTGTTCAAGTCTAACTGGACATCCAGTATTTTTATTTGTTAAATATGGCAACCCTAATCGAAAACCAATTTAAACAAGCTTAGGCATCTATGGGAATTATTGGCTCAGAAAACCTAAGAAACGTTTAGGGTGCCTAGGTGGCTCAGTCTAAGTATACGGCTCTTTATTGAGGCTCAGGTCATCTCAGGATCCTGAGATAGAGCCCATGTCAGGCTCCCTGCTGAGCGTGGAGCTTGCTTGGGATTCTCTCTCTTTCCCTCTCTCTCTCTGCCCCCTTCTCTCTCTCAAAATAAATAAATAAATAAATAAATAAATAAATAAATAAATAAATAAATATTTTTAAAAAGAAAATCTAAGAATGGTTTAAACGAGTAAGGATGAAAATGTCAAAGACAAGGCTAGTCTAAAGATCAGCTAGAAGCAACAACATGAACATTTTCAATATTCTTCCCTCACTGTGTTTCATGTGTTGGCTTGTCTTTTATGGCTGACTTGCACTAGCAGGAAAAATTAATTGACCTTATTGAGTTTTATATTTGAAAAAGTTGCCAGTGGTGAAAAAATGGTCTAATGTTCTCCTTCCTTCCAGATCCAGACATACTAAGGAAGGGCTGTGATTGGTCTATACCTTGGCCAGGTGCCAATCTCTGGGATAGTCAACTGTGGTCATTGCATAGGTTTACATATATAAAAAAATACATAGCACCTTCCACAGAGACTGTAAGGAAGAGTAAGACTGAGAAGCAGAGAAAAAGAACAATTTCTAAAAAGAGCATGCTGCTCCCAGATGAAATGGGTTTTTGGGTAGGCAAATAGTAGGCAACAAACACAAATATGCATTCCAATACAAATGAGTTCAAACAAAACAGGGATTTTATTGAGAGGATGTAATACTATCTTAAAGAACACAATGAGGACAAGATATTCAGGTATTACAGAAGACCTGGACAAGCAAAGGAAGGCCCTTAAGACACACTGTACCTACTGTTTGTCTTTTTCTTCTCTTTCTATTTTAATTACTTAATCTCTACAGGCTGTTCTGAGCATGTCCAGTCCAGGTAGTCATAAATAAATACCAGTACCTAGTATACAGCTAGGCACATCTCAGATAGCATGTCTGGGAACAGAGGGACATTTGAGAAAGTTTAAGGACTAGGGTACAATTTTCTGAGAGGAAGTATCTATTACATTCTGATATTTTAAAGTAAAAATAGTATCACCACTTATTTTATTTAGTTCTAGGCCCCAGGAGAAAGTATATATTTTCATCTTCTATTATTTCCTCTTCTAAATTAACCATACCCTTGGGATAACCATTCTTAGGGAAAACATGTAACTTAGTCATATTGATCCACAGTACTACAATGATCCATAGATCTGAATAATACAATCTGGGTGGTCACATTCTATGAATTCTACAAGCAGGGGTTTTATATGCTTACCAATAAAATAACAATTTCTTTTAAGCTAATTGCCTAAAGGTTTTACCCTAAGGAGAACATTCTAACTAAGATACATTTGTCATGTATACTTAGAGAATATGATGAATTTGTGGCATGAACAGCTTGTCTCTTTGACTTAATACTGACAAACACTCAATTTGAAATTTGAAGAGGTAATGGTGGTAGTTACAAGGAAATGAAAAGCTTCAAAGCTTCACATTTTCTTGGCATGACCTCTACAACAGCATCTGTTCTTGTCTTTTTTTTTTTAAATTCTTGAGTAATACTAGGAAGTTGCTAGACCAGATGAACTTCCTATGACCTATTTAGTAGACCCAAACAATTAGCAAATGCTTATTCAATCACTCCTAAGAGTAGATTTATGCTAGACAAGTAGAATATCATGACCTTTTGATTTATTTTATATAACTTTTCATATACACTTCTTCTGACAATGCCTGGCACATAGTCTGTGAGAGGCGATGATGGTCTGAAGCAAGGCTTTGCATAGGATATGGAGATGATGTGCTGCTATTTTCCATTGTCCCCAGTTCCATTCACTAGACAGTCTTCACCGCTAGACTCAGCAGGGCTAACCCTGCATCCTCTATTTTCCCGATTGTTAGGAACAATCATTACAAATGGTAAGTAAATCTTAGGTGTCAGTGTTATCATCTAAGGATGTATATAAATAAGAAGAATAGAAAGTGGAATTTTGAGGTACGCCTGTGTATAATGAATGTATGGAGGAAGAGGAGCTTATGAAGAAGACTGAGAGTTAGACTTTTAGGTGGTGAAAACACTAAGAGAAAATGGGACCAAGAGAGAGTCACAGAAAAGACAAGGAGAAGAAATATCAAGAAGAGATAGGGCGCACCTCGGTGGCTCAGTCAGTTGAGCATCTGACTTCAGTTCAGGTCATGATCTCACAGCTCGAAGGCTCCTGAGTTTGAGCCCTGCATTGGGCTCTGTGCTGACGGCTCAGAGCCTGGAGCCTGCTTCGGATTCTGTGTGTGTCTCTCTCTTCCTCTCCCCTGCTCGTGCTTTCTCTCTCTCTCTCTCAAAAATAAATAAACATTTAAAAATTAAAACAAAAAAGAGATGCCAAAAAAAAAAAAAAAGGCTAGATGAACAGCATCAATAGAACAAAGGGAATACTGGAAAGCATCTGTTGAATTTGTCAGATCAGAAGTCAACAATGACATTACTGAGAGCTCTTTCAGTGGAGTGATGAGGAAATAAATCAGAACAGAATAAATTGAAAAGAACAGGAGGTAGAAAAGTTTAGAAAATGAGTATCAACTATTCTTTTTAAAAGGATAGAACTAGTAATTCT